AAAGATGTGCATTCCCCCATAAGGGAACACATGTATTATCCATAAAAATATATATAACCCCCCAACATAAGTTCTAAGCCAAAAATTCAATCCCTTTGTAAGTTCTAAAGCCAAACCATAAAACATCAAAGTTTTAAAAAAATAATATCCCTTGTTCCTGAAAAGTTTAGGGGATAAAACATCAAAGTTTTACAAAAATAATATCCCTCGTAGAATGCATATCTCCGTTAAATTTGCCTAAATTTTTAAGTGGGAAAAGAAATTTGTGCTAAATTTTTATTTATGTTTTTCAATTATTGATTACACAATATTTAGTTTGTGTGATGACATTTTCATTGTACAATTATCATTTTGTTACTTTATTGCATATTTTACATGGGTTATTATCTATTAAACCAAACAATTATTTATTTAATTTTTAAAAACGTATTCTATTTAAATACATATTATTTATTTATTTATTAAACCAATAAATTATTATTTTATTTTTTAAAATCATAACAAAATTTTGGGGGGAATTTAAAATTTTGGGAGGAAATTTTGAGGAGATTTTTGCCGCCACTTTTTTCTGTCTTTTGTCTGTTTTTATTTTTTTTTAAATTTCTGTCGGTTTTAACAGACAGTAATGAAATTTCTATCGGTTTTTATTTAAAAATGTTTCTGTCGGTTAAAACCGACAGTAATGAAAATTTTCCAAAATAAAACCCCTCCATCTCTTCCTTGCGCCAGTGTCTTCTCCCTTCCCCCTTTTCTCCTCTCGTCATTTCCTTCTCCTTCTAGAAGCAAGCTGAAGCTGTGAAAATGCATGCCGACTTAAAGTGGGTATGTACTGGGGAGATATGGGCGTTGATCTCTGGGAAGGAACAAACTGAAAAATATGAGGTGCGGGTTTTTTTTTCCTTCATTTAAAATATAGAGAAATGTGTATGTGATTAACCTCCATTTTATGAAACCTTTTCTTCGATGTTGTTTCCTCAGTTCATTTGGCCATTTCTTGGCTACTCTAATTTGTTTCATTTTTTTTTTATATTTTTTTATCAACTAGTCACAAAATCATAGCAAAATTACAACGATTTCCATGGAAATTTCCCAGAAAATCCACTGCCATTGAGACTCAGGAGGGTTAATTTTGTCAAAGAAGACAAGTCTGGAACTTTTCCGGTAAACGAATTTTTACCCAAATCCAACTGCTCCAAGCTCCAGCAGTTTTTCAGGTCATCCGTGAGGCTTCTGTACAATCCATTGGAGCCCAAAGAAAGCCTTTTTAACGATGGAAGCGAGCAGATTGCATGCAATGGAAGAAACCCGGAAAGTTGTGCTAGGAAAGGAAGATTTCGGAGACGAAGCCGTCGGAGTCCCAGACGATCCCTGTGAAGTTGCAGACCCAATTGGGTGGTGCCCAAGTAGTGAAAAGACTTGGGTTTGAGGTTTCAAGGGATTGCTTGAAGTTTAAGAGAGGTTGAAGCTCGTCGGATGTGGATGAAAATTGCAGAAAGTGTAGTGAATGGTTGAAGCTCGCAGACGATCCCTTTTTATTTATTTTTTATTATTAATCTATTTTCTGTCGGTTTTAGCCGACAGAGATGGTTTTATTTATTATTAAGACCATTGACTGTCGGTTATAACCGACAGAACTTCTATCGGTTTTATATATTTTTTTATCGGTTTTATACATTTTCTATCGGTTTGATCCGACAGAAAATGGTCTTATTTATTATTAATTTATTCCCTGTCGGTTATAACCGACACAAGTTCTGTCGGTTTTGTATTTTTTCTGTAGGTTTTATCCGACAGAAAATGCTATTATTTATTCATTATTAATTTATTCTCTGTCGGTTATATCCGACACAATTTCTGTCGGTTTTAGAGTATTTTCTGTCGGAAAATTCATTTCCTGACGCGAGCAATTCTGTCGCTTATTATATCCGTCATTGCAATCATTTTCTGTCGGATTTTGCTTAAAATCCGACAGTAATATACGTTTTTTGTCGGTTTTTGAACCGCCAATTATAGATAATTTTGTAGTAGTGACATGGAGGTGGACAGACACTTCAATATTAAAGAGAATCTGGAATAGAAACGGAACGAGGTTCCATTTGTTAACTCTTTAGAATAGCTGGCATATGTATTGACACATGTTGTGTCAAAACGAGTTTTTGATTACTCACTTGTCAAGTTGCGTATTGGAAATATCTATGCATCAACTTAAGGAAGAGTGTTGATGTGAGTCAATTTGTCTCATATCAGATGTACACTAGTTAGAGTTGTTTGTATGTGTATATAGAGGTTTCCTTATGTTATCGGATCGGATGTACAAGAAATATATATAAAAGGAAATTGCCCCAAAGTTCTCTATTTTTATTCCAAAATCACCCCAGGTTCTCTGTGCTTTTTCCAAGTTCCTTCTTGCTTTTCAACGTACCGCCCCAGAATCTCATCTTCCTGTTTAGTCCCGGCACCTTTCCCCATTCCCAGCAAATTATTATATATCCTCCTTCCTCCATATGATGGATTAATAGAGGTGTACTAGAGGTAGCTGATCCCACGGCACATACACAAAACTAAAGATCACAAGGCAGCAACGTGCATGACTACACTCCATGAAATGGAATACAAAAAGGACAGCAGAAAATAGTGAGACAGTTTGGATTGAAGTTGCGTCAATTTCCAAAAGCGTGTTAGGAAACAGGGATTCTCCTAGTCATCAATGCCAGGTTTCCATCAGCCAATGGAGGGCTCGTCATTTCTATCATTCACGTGGGGTTCCGAAAGAAAATGAGTGAAAATGGTCAACTTGTTCCAAATCTTTCAAATCTCCCATTAATTTTTTTTTTTCAGACAATTAAGTATTCGATCTAATTAGTTGTCTTATTTTAATTGATTCTTAGTCGCCTAATTAGTTGTCTTCCTTTAGTTGATTTTTAGTCCGAAATGTCTTTCTTTTCTTACAAAAAAACTATCATGTTTGAAGTAATTTTCTCTAAAATGTTATGATATTTTCACTCTTTATAGCCACTTATATATCATTTTTAATTATACTCATCGAATTGAATAAATTAAACAAATACAAATACAAAGTGTGAGAGATTAAAAAGCTTATCTAATTATAACTTTGCTACTAAAAACTATATGTGAAAAGCCAAAAATTATATTAAAAAAACTAAGCACTCGGAGCGCTTTTGGCATTGTTTTAGGCATGGTATTAAATATCGATAATATCGGCGATATTTCGCCGATATTATCGTTTTTCAGAGGCTCCGATATTTTCCCACATATCCGTCTCATTATCGTCAAAATATCGCGATATTATCGATAATATCGCGATATTTTCGATATTATCGAAAAAGTCGTCGTGGATCCGTCGTCAGAAAGGCAGCCGAGGCTGCGTCGTCCCCCCAGCTGCCCAGATCTCTCTGCAATCCATGCTCAAACCCAATATCTGCGCCTCAACGACGCCGATTCCCCCGCCGTTGTCGAAGTCGCGGCGAAAGAGCTCGCAGAACGGATTGAAGCAGCTCTTGGGTTGAAGCAGGCGTAGATCCACAACTCCAGAACGGATCGAGCTCGCAGTTGTAGATCCACAACTCGTGGTCTGTCCCCACGGCGAAGCAGGCATGGTCTTGGGTTGAAGCAGACGTGGAACAGAGACGGAGGCGAGCGCGGCGCCGGCGGGGTAGTCTCCGGGGGGAGAAGGAGAATGGGTGGTTGTTGTGGAGGTTGAGGTTGGGGTTTGGGGGCGATTGGGGGTCGTGGTGGTCGTTGCTGGAGTCAACGACAGAGGTGGGGTTGTTATCGGTGGGATCGGTGAGGAAGGCGGAGAAGGATCAAGAGAACTCAGAGTTCCTGGGTTCGCCGACGAGGCGGAATACGCGGACGAGGAGGAAGGCGAGGGAGGAGGAGAATGCCATGTGGAAGAAAGATCGAGAAAGGTCTCTGTGCGTGTGTATGGGAGAAGGGAGAAGAGAGAAGGATCGAGAATTCGAGAGATCTGTCGATCTGTGTGTGTGTTTGTGGGAGAAGGGAGAGGGAGAAGAGAGAAGGATCCAGAGACAAGTCGTGTGTGCGTGTGTGGTGTGCGTGTGTGGTGGCGTGTGTGATCCCTGTGTGTGCGTGTGTGTGTAGGTGGTGTGTGACGGTGTGAGAAAAGAAAAGCATGGTAAATAATTCAACTTTAACATCTTTTAGGAATGGTACAATGTATAAAGTGTAAAATATTGTACTAATTCATTATATATAAATGATTATGGTGTGTTTAAACTTTTTTCATTAATTACTACATAGTTTCTACACTCACAATGTTTGCCAGCTCGCTATATAATCAACTTGATAATGTTAAATCCATCATGCAATGCATTTCCTTCCAATTTTTTATGATAAACTAATAGATAATTGACTAAATAAACATCCTGCAAAGTTTCAATAAAAATTTCCAAGTTTTTCTTACAATTTCCGTGGTTTCCATGTAATTTTTATCGATATCGATATTATCCCGATATTTCCATCGATATTTCCGTGTTTTCGGACTATCGATATTTCCGATATTACCGATATTTTCTTCCATGGTTTTTAGGTCATCCAAGCAGTTGTTCACTCGCCTAAGCGTCAATACTTATTCTTCACACCACTTTTGGTGAGCCAAAACATAAATCTTTGTCTTTTGAAGCGTTGCGACGTTCCACCAAAATACTCTGGCCCTTCATTTGAAGTATATATATTTTGACATTTTGTACACCAACTACTTTTTTATACAAACACAATTAGTGTTGCATATATTATAGGGAGTTTTAACAAAACATTTCTGGTACTGTTCACTTTTAATGAAAAACAACATTTTTACCTTTAACTGGCATTATTCACTATACTTTTAAAAAAGGTTTTTCGTTAAAAGAGAAGTTTTTTTAGATTTTTCGTTAGTTTTCCTTATATTATAAGTACAAAGCAAAAATTTTGAAAGACAACCCCACATGAAAAGTTGAAACAAAAAAAAATATTTATGGTTCTGAACTGAAAAATGAAATATATACGTGTATATATCACAAACAAACATATAGGAACTTATTACTAATTAAGTACGTACATTGTCTGCAAAGTACAACTAATTCCATGATTGCTTGAGACTTTGGACCTCTAAATCTTAGTTCTCTCTTCTTCTAGATTCCAAAGGTTCTCCCTAAAAGAAAAGTTGCCACTCATGTGTAACCCTTCATCAGCAGAATTCATGCCTACCGTTGTCGATTGTGCAATATCTTCAACCCAAAAGTTTGTGAAGAGGTCTTCCCCTAACCCTAAACTAGTAAATGGTGTTCCATCAATATTGTCTGTATCATGCAACATGGTCTTCCATGAATCAATAGCATTTTCTGTAGGTGGTGATGATGTCTGTAATAATCTGCTACAGTTCTCTTCAGATTTTAAAACTGCAACTCTAGCCCTCCGTGGTTGAGGTCTTATGACGGATGTGACTTTTGTTCTTTCTTTTGATTTATCCTTCATATATTCCAACTCCTTTCGTTGCTTGCTATTCCAATAATTTTTTACCTTGCCTGCTGTTCTTCCTGGGAGTCTTCCAGCAATTATTGACCACCTTACATGCACAAACAAAATGAATAAATAATATGTTAAAACTACAAAGGCATTTGTTCAAAACTACAAGGGCTTTGTAACTCATTTTTTTTGGTCAGAAACAAGGGCTTTGTAACTCAAGAATAGTAAAATTGTAAGGAGTTGTTGTCACGGTTTCAAAATTATTCTCACTCGGATAAAACCCATTCACTAGATTTCATATCAGCAAATTCATTAATTATGTTTGGCTTCATAGATTTTTAAAAAATTGGATGCCTAAAATACCCCTATTTGAATTTATTTATTTATTTTTTTGATAAACCATATTTGAATATTTGATGTACATAATTAATGCCTATATAGTAACATAAAACATGTCTAATATATGTTATTATACTTGCTTAATTAAGTCAATAAAACTATATTTTACATATTAATGTAGGTAAATTATTTCTCCCACACACACATGCATGATATATGTAAAATTCATGCAAAATAATTTACCTACATAATAAAACAATATTATTTTATTTAATACTAATTTACCTATTATTTGTACATATGATAATAAAATGTGCCAAATATATATATATGATATTGAATCATTGATACATACAAAATAAAATACCTACATAACAAAAGAATACTATTTGATTCAAAATTAATTTACTTACCAAATAAAGCAATGTTATTTGATTTGAAGTTAATTTACCTATTATTTGTACATACATCTTATAATAATAAAATGTGGCAAACATATGTAATAATATATAAAAAATAAATTACCTACAAAATAAAAGAATGTTATTTGATTCAATATTAATTTACCTACAAAATATATATTATTTGCTAATCATAAACTTACATATAGGTAAATTCATTATATATAACATATATTTTTTACTTGGTAGTATTTTTCAAATTTGGGTTTTATTTGGATGTTCAGAATTAGATGAATTTTTATCAAGAAAATAAAAGTTGTAAGGATCTATATCTAAAGAACCCTATTTTTTTTTTTATTAATTTTTGTGAGGCTTTCTCAAGTGTGCAATCCTGGCTCCACAGACTTGGAGCACAAGCAAAGAAGGCCCAAAATGCTGGTAGCCAGCGTCTTAAGTTTTGCAAATAGGGTTTCGTATTCTGGATGTATGCCGTGTGTTAGTCGGTCAACAAATCTTATTTACTGGCTGATGTGCCTTGGCAGGCTCTCCCAGCTTCTTATGAAGTTCTTTTGTTTTGATACAATCTTCAAGGTGAGTAATATCTTTATGATAACTAGCTCATGCATGCATGCATTTGGCTTTTGCTTGGAATATAAAATGACTTGCCGGTTTTTTTTTTGTTTGCCAAATAAAGGGACTTGCCTGTTTCCCAAAAGTTTCTGAAGTCTATGGATTAGATCTATTTCATCCTCTGTGAAATCTCCGCTCTTGAGATTCGGCTTCAAATAGTTCAACCACCTCAGTCTGCAGCTTTTCCTGCATCTGTTTAGACCTGCACATTTACACAAAGACTTTATTTATAACATGTTTCTAGATAACCAAACTGAAGGACAACTAATTTTCTAGTCAAGTATGCCAATAAACTTGTCTCTTTACCTGTTTCGCGAGGAACCTGGTGCCACTTTCCATCTCCATGCTTTTCAACGTACTGCCTCAGAATATCATCTTCCTGTTGAGTCCAGGCACCTTTCCTCATTATTCCCAGCAAATTACTATCCTCAATATGTAAATATATACCAGATTAGAGATCATGAGGCCACCGACGTGCATGACTGCTCGCCACATAAATGAATGAAAAGGACCACAGTACAACTGAAACAATTTGATAGAGTTTTTTTTACCAGAAACGATAGGTTCAGGTTGTATTTCACTGATTCTTACAAAACAAATTAAATATATAAAACGAATTGGTGTCAATTGGGTAATACTCCAGTGACCAAAATTGGTCTAGAGTGAATTAGTAATTTAGTAAAGACAAATTAAACAATTGACGCAACAAACCTATAACGGTAATACATGAATTATCTCTAAAACACAAGTTATTATAGAGAAGTGTGATCACATAAAGTCATTGTTAAAAAACGTGAACACATAATTCATTGATAATAACAAAATACTACATCCAGCCACCGCAATAGCGCGACCATAATACCCGCTAGGCAAGACGACAAAACAACGACACCACTTCGAGAAGAGAACCCTTAGTCGGCTCGTCTCTGTGGAGGACAAAGACACCATAGCTAGCCAGGGCCATTGTAGCTTTCACCACTCTAGTGAGCCATAGGGTCATATTTTTGTAATATATTTTCTTTGAATTTTGTATATTCGAATGGATTGAACATTATATTATTATTTTTTTTATTTTTTTAAGGCATTTGATGGCCTTCGTCCATAAGCAGTAGGTCTCGGGTTCGAGATTTGGGAGTAGCCTCTCTATAAATGTGAGTAAGGCTAGCCGACATTCACCTCTTACAGACCTGCGTAAAGCGGAAGCCTTGTGTACGACCTTTTATTCAATAGCGAAACTACGTGACAAAAAGGAGAAAAAATAGTTTTACTAGTCAACACAACTCTACATAGTTTTACTAGTCACCTGATCATGTATTGTTACACTCTCATCGAAGATGTTGCGTCCCTCGGTTCTTCTTTGAGAAGTATTTTACAGTCAACCAACGGCTATTGTTAGCTTCCTATTTCTTGAACTTCTCTATGTGGTTCGTGTTATGGAGGTCATCAAAACATGCAGAAATAATTCCAGGCTTGTTCTCCTCCGCATCGAGAACTCCATTGTTGTCTCCAGCTTTAACCTGTGGATTTGGAGGAGAGCGAGATATGGGTTAAGTGGCGGAGTTGTTGAACATGGAAGCAGATGTAGATGGCGACGCCGGAGACGACAAAGACGGCAAGCTCCCCATTCCCCCAATTTTGTTGTTGCTGCTGCTAACAGAGATTTGACGAAGCTACAATTAAAGAGAGGGGATAGATGAAGAAGAGAATAGGGTAAATAGAAAAAAGAGTGGTGTTGGACATTTTTCTCCTCGCATTTAACAAAGATTTGATCGAAATTTCACTTTCGATTAAATCTGCTAACGGTTTTCATCACGAGGATTTGAATTTTAATTTTATTACCCCATGTGCTATTTTTTGAATATTTTATTATCACGAGGACTATTAATTCAATCATTTGCGGTCGACATTTCAACTTGTCCGTCGAAGGTAAATGTTTCTATCTGATTCGATTTACGATCGCATTGCAAATGATTTCCCGTGGGTCGACACCCCCCCGTTGGCCATATTAAAAATATCGGGGTCCCCATCGGCTTAAAATACATTAAAAACCACAACTGCTAGGGTTTAGCATGTACGGCTCCTTTCATACAGCATTCCCAATTTTCTTATTTTCTATTCCATTTTGTCTAACTTTATTTTTAGGGTGAACCATTGATTTAGTTCTTAAAGTATTACTTGAGTGAAAATTAGGTTCTTAAATTATTTTTTTAAGAAAAATCAGTCCTCAATCTAATAAATTTTACCAATTACATCCCTAATATTATATTCGAATTTATTCTATTCAATTTTTCATCAATTTAAGTCACGTGGCTTGCATGTAATACACTTTAGAGAGTAGATTGATAGTTTTTCCTAATTTAAGAACTTATTTCCTTAGAAGAAATATTGTATGGAATTAACTTTGAAGGGTAAATTAGACTTTAGATTCGCAACATATATGCAACATTAAGAGCTTATATGCAAGCAAATGGGGGCAATATCCTTTAAAATGTGACATGTAACTTAATTTGATGAAAAAATGTATAAAATAACTTTGAATAGAATATTAAGGATGTAATTAACAATTTTTAATGAATTCATAGACTTATTTTACTGAAAAAAATAATTCATAAACCTAATTTTCATTGAGGTGATAATTCAATGACTAAATCGACCGTTCACCCTTATTTTTACTCTTGATTTCAAGGACTATATCCTGCGAGTTCTCAATTTTTTCCACCTTTCTCAAATTAAGATTCTTAGCCACTTTTGTTCGACTCTTATTTTACTACTAGAGAAATGTTAAGATGATTCTCTTAAAATGTGACTCTTCAAGAATTTTTTGCTCTTTCATATTTTTTTGTATAATATTTTATAATATTAACATACAAATAAGCATTAAACTGTGAAAAAAACAAAAAATCCTTAAAAAATTTCACTTTCAAAATGTCATCTCATCGTTTCTCTTACTATACTTAACTTTTTTAAGCCGGTGGGACCACGATACTTGACTTTTTTAAGCCAATGTCTCCCCTAGGTACAATTTGGTTTCAATCACCAATTCTAGTGAGACAAATAATAATGAAAGCAATAGCACTGGCTGTCTATTTTCGTGTCATCGTAAGGTAGACCTATAAGCTAAATTAAATGCTAACCGATCAGTTAAATATGTTTCTTTCAAATCAATCACATTATCTTGGATATATTTGACAAAACTTTAACTTATCGCGATCATTGTTGTCCATATATACACGATTGTTTTTCTGTCAATATCATCTGCATCAAATCGCTATCGGAATTTTTAGTAGTAGCAAAATAGAAGAAGATAAAAATGGAAAAATGCAAAGAACATAATGTGGGTCAAATTGAAAGGTACACCACACATCATATAAGATCTTCGACATTTCTGTTGTTATCAATAGTAACAGATTTTGTAATACAATGGGGTTAAAATGACATGTGATGGACACGTGGACGGATTCAGCATATGCATACTTGAGGTAGCTGTCAACATTCAACTCCTTATGCGATGGAAAATTGCTCTAACTAAAAAGATAAACTTTCTTCTCACGTTGTATATTATTCCTACCATCTCACCCTTCTTGGTCATGTTACTTTTTATTTAGCTAATGGTTTACAATTTTAACATATTAAACACCAGTCATTCAAAATCATATGGTTGAACAATAAGTTGATAACATTGTATCGAATTTCAATTTATTTCATCATTCAAATTGCCTCCACTAAAAAGTGTTTCTATCTCTGTCCATGGATGGACGCAACTAAACCACTTACAATAATAACTCGAGAATTTCAATTGAGAAATATCTTTCATTTATTTCATTTTGTTTTGTTCGCTCAATCAATGTCTTTACCAGTCTGAAATCAGCCTACATTGAAAAGTAGCCATTTGTATACAAAGTCGACAGTTTTTGAATAGGAAAATGCTAAGACCATGTTTTTAGACCCTGATTAAGTGATAAGTGATAAAGTCTAGAGAGAGATTCTGTGGAAGATAGAGATGTAGAGAGAGAAGTAAAAAATATAAATGTGATTGTATTTCACTCAATCAATAAGATTACACTTGATGCTTATATATACATTTATGAAAGAACTACTTAACTAACTAGAATAACAAAAAGTTCTAGCTAAGTTTTATCTCTTGCAATACTACCCTTATTATCCCCCCTCAAACTAAACCGAGGTGTGTGAAGTGAAAGTTTGTCTCGAAGAAGATGGAATCGAGTCTTTGAAATAGACTTAGTGCATATATCAGCAATCTGAGCTTGAGTATTAATAAAATGGACAGAATCTTTGGAAAGAACTTTTTCACGGATGTAGTGGTAGTCAATTTCCACATGCTTTGTCCGGACATGAAAAATAGGATTCTTGGCTAAGGATATAGCTGAGGTGTTGTCACACCAGATTTGGGGAGGACATGGAAGTTGCAAACCAACATCAACCAAGAGCTTGCATATCCATGTAATGTCAGCTGCAGTGTTTGCCAAAGACCGATATTAAGCTTCGGTAGAAGATCATGCTACTGTAGGTTGTTTCTTGGCACTCAAACTGATGAGTGAACTGCCCAAAAATATACAAAAGCCACTTGTGGATCTCCTATCTATGTGACAACCTGCCCAATCTGCATCGAAGAAGGCATTGATACTGAGATAAGTTGAGACTTTGGGAAACCAGAGACCAAGCTCCAGAGTACCTTTGAGGTATCTCAAAATTCATTTCACTGCTTGAAGATGAGATTCTCGAGGTTGATGCATAAACTGACAGACTAAGTTTACTGCAAAAGAGAGATCCGGTTGAGACCAAGTAAGATGTTGTAACCCACCAACCAATGACCTATACTCAATAGGATCTGACAACAATAGAGATTCATGATCCAAAGATGAAGTGCTAAGTGGAGTTGCACATGGCTTAGCACCAATCATATTTGACTTCTTAAGTAAGTCAATGATGTACTTTGTCTGAGAAATAAAAATCCCCGATGATGAACGTTTGACTTCAATGCCCAGAAAATAATGAAGAGGCCCCAAATCTTTGATAGGAAACAGATTGCTGAGTTGAGAGATAGTTTCCTTGCAGGCTTGAGGATGTGGACCAGTCACTAGTATATCATCAACATATACTAGAATGAAGACTAAAGCTTGACCATTTTTAACAAAAAATGAATGGTCATTTTTGGAACCAGTGAATCTAAGAGAAGATAGAGCAATGTATAACTTGTCATGGACCCTTTTTAACACAAAGTGATCGGAGAAACAGTGTCAGGAGAAGGAGATGAAAAGTCTGCCATGAAGAAACAATGGCGGTTAGGGTTTGTACAAATAGGCGGTGTAGAAACGGTTAGGATCAGAAGAGTCAGTAAACAAATGGCGATACCATGATTAAGTCTAGAGAGAGAAATTATGTGGAAGATAGACTATCATTTGGATTATATTAATTTGTGGTTCATCTGCTACGCTCCTTTGTACCCTTTGCACCCTTTGCACTCTGTGAGGTTGCTTCAAAACTTATGCTTGTATAAAGGAAAAACAATATACATGCTTACACCGTCTTGTCTACCAACTAGCGATTAATGTATTTACACTGGATAATTAAATTTTATAATCGGAGTCGTTAGATTTCTTAAGATGTTATTGCTACTTAAAAAAGTTGTCATGCAATTATTCTTAGCACTAGCAGAGCCAAGTATATGGCTATGATGGGCTATAACATAGAGAGAGAGAGAGAGAGAGAGAGAGAGAGAGTAACATTAAAAATACTAATTAGTTTGTCTACTATATAATTAAAAATACTAATTAGTTTGTCTACTATATAATTTTTTATTGTCCTAACCCAGCCAAAAGTCTGAATCCTGTCTTGTCAACTCCAATAGTGGCTCAAAATGAGAAAGAGTAACATTAAAAATACTAATTAGTTTGGCTACTATATAATTTTTTATTGTCCTAACCCAGCCAAAAGTCTGAATCCTGTCTTGTCAACTCCAATAGTGGCTCAAAATGAGCCAAGTATATGGCTATGATGGGCTATAACATAGAGAGAGAGAGAGAGAGAAAGAGAGAGAGATTGAGTTCGTTAACATTAAAAATACTAATTAGTTTGGCTACTATATAATTTTTTATTGTCCTAACCCAGCCAAAAGTCTGAATCCTGTCTTGTCAACTCCAATAGTGGCTCAAAATGTGATTAGGGACGAGTCCCGTCTTATGTTGCTTTCTCATGTTGGCATATATGGAAAGCTAGATGTTGCTTTCTTTTCCAACAATAACCAATTAACCCGAGACAGGTGTTTGCAGCCATTTCCACCAATTCCAGTGCATTTGCGAACGTTTCTCATGTTTTCCGCTATGAGTTTGGTGTCAAGTAGCCACGTCACCCCTACGACAGTACGATGGTTTCCACCGTGCCCCTAGTTTGTCAAAAAATAATGTCGACGGCAGCTGGTTGGTTGCTACAAATATGGGGTTTGCTGGGGTTATTGCACGGGACGTAAATGGTAGCTTCGTTGCAACTCATAGGTACCGTCTTTCTGCTCCCTGCATTGTGGCGGCTGAGGCACTGGCCATTCTTCATGGGTGTGAGTTGGATATTTCCTTGGGTCTAACTCAGTTATCATTTAATTTGATTCATCGGAGTCAATTTCATGCCTTAAGGATACGCTAACAAATGGTAATTGGGAGGCTTTTCCCGCTCTAGTAAAGAGCAAGAAA